TGGCTTCCACAAATTGTCAGACAGGTGGGGAAAATGTATAGCAGCGATGGGCAATATTTCGAATAAAATATTTTTTATCATTTTCCTGCAATAAACGTGTATTTTCTATTAAAAAATTCCGGTTTCATATTTACATACCTGGTACTTTTAATATTAATATCTTTCCAATTATTATATTAGGTGTTAAACTTAATTCCTATCGCTCGTTACTAGAGGGTGCTGGCTCCAACGCTGGCGAGTTTCGACGATGAAGTCATATGTCTTTTGTAGTTTAGACATCGCTGAAAGTGATTCAATCCTCACAGGTTAGATTTCTCGACGCCAAAGAGATTTTCCAATCGATTGAAAATTAATCGCGATAAGCTGTTTTTCCGACGTGTGCTTCTTCGCTACTTCGACCTCAAGAAAACCGCAGATGAAGCGCATCGCTTATTATCCGAAATGTATAGTGATGAAACTCCATCGGAAAAAACATGTAGAGTTTGGTTTGAACGCTTCCGAAACGGTGATTTTGATGTGAGAGACAAAGAACGTCCAAGACAGCCGAAAAAATTTGAAGATGTCGAGCTGCAAGAATTGTTTGATGAGAATCCAGCTCAAACGTTTTTAGAGTTATCGAAACAGTTAAATGTTACTCCAAAGGCCGCAGTTCTCAAAACGCTTGCATGCCATGGGAAAGATCCATAAGGAAAGGAGATGGCTACCACATGAGTTGTCAGAAAATGCCATTTCGAATCGTTTAACTATTGCGACTTGTTTGCTTAAAGGTAAAGAAAAAAGAGTTTTTTGTGGCTCATCGTGACTGGCGATGAAAAATGGATTTATTTTGATAATTCCAAGCGGAAAAAATCATGAGTGGATCCCGGCCAACCATCTGCTTTAACGCCGAAGAGGAATATTCGCGGGCATGAGACTTTGCTGTGCGTTTGGTGGGACCAGGAAGGTGTGCTGTATTATGAACTCTTGGGTCCAAATGAAACCGTTACAGCTGATCGCTACAAACAGCAATTATACCGATTGAGTGACGAATTGATGCAAAAAAGATCATCCGTAGCCAACAATTGACGCAAAGTCATTTTGTTGCATGATAACGTTCGACCGCATGTCGCGAAAAGCGTGAAGCAGACACTTCGAGAGCTTGA